CCCCCACAGTTTTGGTTTTGCCTAATTGTCTGTTACTGTGATAAAGGCTTTTGGTTTTGTTTTTGTGATACCAATAACCCAGATCTTCTCCTTTTCTAGCAAGGAAGTGTGAATTGTCCCTCCTGGAAGCACTCTGGTGTGACAGTTCACCTTTAACATAGGTTGCAGGTTCTCCACTGTTTGACTTTTTTGAAAATCTACTGTAGTTTTGTTTTTGTTCTTTGCTGTTTCTTTTTTAAAGCTGTCTATGCTGTTCTAGAAGCCCTGGTGGCACAGTGTTTAAATGCTAGTACTGCAGCCACTCACAAACCACAAGGTTGTGAGTTCAATCCCAGCCAGGGGCTCAGGGTCGACTCAGCCTTACATCCTTCCAAGGTCACTAAAATGAGTACCCAGCTTGATGGGGGCAATTAGCTTACAGTTGTAAACCGCTTAGAGACTGCTCAGCATGAAGCGGTATATAAATGAAGCTGCTACTAGAAGGTCCCAAGGGCAAAAATTCACAGGACTACCTGAAGTTGCCTGCCCAGTCTAATTCTAGCCTTACATTTTGTCTGCACATTGAAGTACTAACAAAAGGGCAAACATGACTGGCTTAAGTCTTTTGCACAAAGGGGAAAGGCTGTCTTTATTCAAGGGCCCAATGAGTTTCTCCACACCTCAAATCCTCCAATAACCAGCAGTGCCTGGATGTTAAATTTCCGAACATTTTCAACAATCTTTTCCATGCACGTCTTTGGGAGAGTTCTGGCAAAACAAGAACAAAAGAAGATTTCAAAAAAGTTATATCATAGTGTGTGCCATTTATAATTCTAATTTTATGGAATCTGCTTTACATTATGATTGCATTAGTACAGTAAAGGTTAAAGAAGAAACACCAATTATGTGAAACATGTATTAATTTTTCAAATTAATTTGTTGCCTTTGTACTTTTCAGATAATAATACAAAACAAAGATAAGGTGCACTAATAAGCAGCCTGTCAAATAATATGTTCTTTGGCAAGTGAGCAGAGATGCTGATAGATTCACACAGGATGGCAAAGACAAATTACACAGACATAATGTGGTCTTTATATTGCTTCTCCCATAATAAATAGCTCAGTGACTAACAAAAAGAGGAAATGTGTTAAATAACACAAGTGTTCTTATTTTGTCCAAGTAAATAACAGGAGAGTATAGTTCAGGCATTCTCCAAAGATCCTGGAAAAGATTCATTTGCTCAGATAAACAGAGAAACTTAGCCAACCAGCTCATTAAAAGTCTGTGGCCAGTCATCTGCTCCAGAGCAAAGCAAAGAAGAGGCTGCCTTTGGGGGAAATAATCCACCCAGTTAAGACAGTGGATGGTCACTCCAAGCACTTTTTCTCGCACTTTCTTAGGAGCATAATTAGTCTGATGGTACAAGTGAAGCAGAGTATATACAGGAAAGGGAAAAAATGTAATAGGCAAAACTGTTGAGTATTTCTGCCATGCAAGTGCAACCTGTGACTAACCCAGTCATGCATTCTCTGAAGTGAGATAGAATGTTACTGAAACTGCACCTACTAGGGAGCAATTAGAGCACAGCTCAGAGAGATTATTGCAAGGAGGCAAATCTGATTGTGCCATACTTCAGTTTTATATCCATGATGTAGCTGTCAAAATTGGCTTCTTCTGGAAATGATGTATTCAGTGTCAACAGTGTGCTCATCACGTTCAGATACACTTTATGCTAAGCTTATGAAGTGTGGACTAGCAGTTAGTTGACCTTTGCAAGAATCTAAATTTCAAGCACACCTTTTCTGGATCTTTTCACCAGACAAACTGAAAGGCTGTTGGCATATTTTTTAACCATTATTATTTTTAAATATTTTTATATTATGGATGTATTTGAATGTAAACTGTTTATAGACTCTCTATATCAAGTGAAATATAAATTGTACAAATAAATAAATAATAAAGGTGAATATCTGTGTACATACAGAAGCCATCAGATTCCCAAACTGATCAATTCTGATGCCACTGTGTCACACAGGAATCCACAGCATGACTATGAACAGGATACAGCCCTCCTTCAGTATTATTATCTCCTGGCACAAGCCAGGCTGATG